AGAAAGAAGGGCTGTTTATGCACAGGGAGACAGCTCAGGGGGCAGGAGTGCATGGAGGGATGGACACAGGGAAGAGGTAACTATGGGGAGGAAGTGGAAGAGGAGCTGTTACATTGTGGTAAACTGTGGTCAATGTCATGAGACAAAGCATATGTGAACCACTGTATGGAAAGTGAATCTGCTCTGTAAACCTTCACCCAAATCACAATAAAAAAAAAGGAAAGAAAAAAGAAAAAGCTGGAATTAGAAGTATCATTTGATCCAGCAATCCCATTAGTAGGTATATATCCTAAAGGAGTGAGTACCAGGACAAGAATAGACACATGCATATGCATGTTCATCACAGCACTATTCACAATAGCAAAGAATGGAAACAATCTAAGTGCCCATCAACTGAGAATGAATAACCAAACTATGGTACATACACACAATGGAATACTATGCAACCCTAAAGAATAATGTAGAATCTGTGAAACACCACATAATGTGGATGAACTTGGAGGACATTATGCTAAGCGAAATAAGTCAATCACAGAAGGACAAATATGGTATTAGCTCACTAATGTAAAAAGTCAAGGAAAGGTTTATACAGGGAAATTCTCCTTGGTTACCAGGGATGGAAGGGGACAGGAGGTAACACTGCTAGGTAGTTAGAGACAAGTATTGATTTGGGTGAAGGGAAGGGCAATATACCAAAAGTAAGTGATCAACACCGTGGCACTGAGGGAAGAGCAAGACACAGAGAAGTACATGGAAGTGCAGACAACAAAGATTGCATGTACAGTACTGCATTGTCAGTGATGGCAAGCATTGATCTATGGGTAGACAGATGAGTAGACAAGCTGAACGATCAGGTATGTCCAGGCAGGGTGGAGTGTGCCTATGACCACGTATAGGGTTGGCACATGATGTTTCTACATGTATATCTTTATGTGCTGTAAGAATGTCTGGGCATATGGTATTACTGACAAGGGGCAGGCAAGGTTGTGGCTTCTTGGCCAGCTACCCTGAGGGAGTGAATAGTTGGACCTGTGGGCTGAGGACCATCATGACAAGGGACATGAAGTTCAACTGGCATACCATACTACAAAAACATTGTTCTACATCCTATTTTGGTGAGTAGTGACTAGGGTCTTAAAAGCTTGCAAGTGGCCATCTAGATGCAATGATGGGTCTCTCCTTGTCCAGAGTAAAAAAGAATGAAGAAAACCAAGACACAATGGAAACAATTAGTCCAAGGGACTAGTAGATCATGAGACCAGAAGAACTAGATGGTACCTAGCTACCACTGTCAACCCCTCAGAGGGGGATTGGTGCAGGAGATCTTCAATAGAGTGGGAGAACAATGTGGAACAAAACTCAAAATCATAAAAAAAGAGACCAGGTTTGCTGCTCTGACAGAGCCTAGTGAGACCCCTGAGACTATGGCCCCTAGTTGCCCTTCGGTCTGAAACTGCACTCACTCCTGTGGCTTCCAGCCAAACAACACCTCATATGGGGTGAACATTCACATGAGGTACACACACTCCTTGCAGTTATCTATCATGGGAGAACAGAAAGACAGTATTTGCACAGGGACACAGCTGGGGCGGGGGGAGTGAAGCATGTAGGAGGGAAGTACACAGAGAAGAGGTAACCATGGGGAGAAAGTGGGAAGAGAGCTGTTACGCTGTGGGCAACTGCGTCAGTCATGAAACAAAATGTGTATGAACTGCTGTATGGAAAATGAATTTGCTGTGTAAACTTTCACCCAAATCACAATAAAAACTTAAAACAGAAAGAAAGATAGATATCAGTCATGCAAAATATTAGGGGAAGAGCATTCCAGCAGAGGGCACAGAAGTAAAAAGGCCCAGAGCAGGAATGAGTGCAAAGGCCCTAAGGTATCTCTTTCCCGAAACTGCATTTTTTCAGTCACACTAATACCAAATCCATAATTGCTGCTTTGCTAATGCCATTTCATTTGCCCAAAAGGCCCTTCTATTGTTTGACTAAAAAAATTCTGCTCCTCTTTCAAAGACTACATCAATGCCAATTCACAAGTTCAAAAACCTAAGTGCCTTCAACATGGCCTCGGTATGGTGTAGGAGGCCTTCCCTGGCCCTCCCCAGTCAGTACCAACAGCCCTTTCCTCTCTGTTCTTCCAGTTTAATGCCTGGGCCTTGATTATAGTGCATATTCCAGAATCATTTAAAAACTGTATCTATAATGTTCTTTATACTTTGCAAAATACTGTCCCAATTCCATTATCCCATTTAACTATCATATTAACAGTGAGAAATAAGTATTCGTAACTATCTTACAGACAAAGCTGGAAAGCTCAGTGAAGTATTTGACCCAGAATTGCCTTCTACAGCTACAGCGTCAGAGCCAGCCTTCTCAGCCCCCACCCTGCTCTCTACCACATTACCTCTTCCTCTTCTTCCTCCCCCTCTCTATCAATAATCTGAAGCAGTCTTTTTTTGTCGTCATCTGCTTCTTCCACTACGGTCATTTCCTCCTCCCGATAGCGGCCACGTTCTCGGGTACCCGCTTGCCTCCGACGCATCTTCAGCTCCTCTTCTTCATCATCCCGGGGGCGTTTTGTGCCCCTGTTGGGCTGAGAAGGAGAGAAAAGAAACACCGGATTTTTGAGCTAGGAAAAACCTAGATGGTACAGACAGTAGATATTCAAAAAGCCTTCAAGGATTTCCCAGTGACTGAAAGGCACCATGGCATACAATTTCTCCCACAAATGCAGTAATGTTTTAAGTGGTTATTTTTCAGACCCTTAAAGATTCTATGCATGTAACACCAACATCATCTATAAGTTAGTCGAATTCAGAATTTCTTTAACACGCAAAGTTTTATCACTTCACTAAAGTTCCTATTTATTCAGAAATTGCAAGGAACAAAGCCACTTTGAGATGGGGACACTGGGTTAGGCTCACTTACTAATTAGGATTCAACTCACAATACCAACCCCTCAGCACACGATTTTAATTCATGTCTAAGAAAGATAACAAGCCTTTTTAGGGTCAGTCACAAGTTTCAGGAATATTACATATGTAACTCCAAAGGGTCTACTACACTCCAATTATCTACTTCACAGAAGAGTAAAGGCCCAGAAGTCAAGTACTACCCAAAGTGACAAAACCAACAGCAGAGATAGAAACAGAACTGACACTTCTTGACTGCTAGTCCAGGGCTCTTTCCACCCTAATAAGGATCTCATTTTGCCTTTTAAATCATAATCCATAGAAGAGTTCTTATAGTTATTTTTCATTAAAATTAGTACTGGTACTAAAATTGGTACTACCAAAAGGAGCGTCAGAGCTGAGGAGAAACTGCACTGCACCAGACATCAAACTGCCCAACAACGCTATTCAACTCAGCTTCCTACTGGAGCCAACCTGGGCACATCATTTACCCTCTAAGCCTTAGTTTCCTCATCTGCAAGTGGGGATTCTAACTCTTTTCTCTGTGAACTTCAAAAAACTGCATTTAAAGTCAAAGAACTCTAGAGGATAACAGAAGTAAGAAAATATGTAAAATTACGACAAGGAGGTAACTCACCGGATTCTGTCTTCCCCAACACAAAACACCTGTGTCAGGCTCCTTGCTGAGGTTCTCTTTACCTGCTACGATAACTGCACCCACCAACAGTGTGCTAAGTACCATTGTGTGGTATGCTACCAAACACAAGAAAAGGTCACATTCACTGCCAGCTTGCAAAGTTTAATAATAACAAATTTCTTTTTTTTTTTTTTTTAAGTTTTCCTTAGTCTAGCACTTTATTGTTGTTGTTGTTGTTATTTGCCATCGCATTGGCCCCGACTCCTGGCGACCCCTCCTTGGGTTTCCGAGGCAGTTATCACTACGGTAGTAGGACTGCCCAACCTTCCTTCCGAGGAGTGGCTGGTGGGTTTGAACCGCCAGCCTCCTGGTTAGCAGTCAAGTGCTTTAGGCACTATGCCCACCAGAGCTTGGTCTGGGAGGGGAGGCTGGGATGGACAGGACCAGCACCCATCTGGGGGGGTCTTCGCGGATATCAGGCATTCCTCCAATCAGGTTTAGAAGAAATACCCACACTGATGAAATCCCCACAGAAGGTAACACAGTGATCGCCAAGCAGCCTGGGGTGAGGGTGGGGGGTGTCGCCCTAGTCACAGGTGGGCTCCTTGGACAGCAGGGCCTTAATGTCAGCCTCCATGTCGATGGTTGGGAAGCAGTGGCTGTACCTGAGCACAGGCACACTGTTGCGGTCTACCAGGAACTTCTCAAAGTTCCAAGCAACATCATTGCTGCACACTGGAGACCAGATGACTAGCCTGGGGTCGGTCATAAGTGCAACGGCTTGGTCGCTGGACGCAGGCAGGGCCTCCCTCAGGAAGGCAAAGAGAGGGTGCACCAGTGCGCCATTCACCTCGCAATTCTCGAAAAGTGTGAAGTTAGGCTCGAACCCACTGCCTGGTGGCACATACTTGAGGGAATTTAAGATTTCTTCGTTTCTGGCGTTTTCCTGATGCCCAAACTGGAAGCCAAGCGACGAGGCCCTGAGGGCCAGGCGCCGCTGCAGATCTTTCATCTGAGTGTAGTCCCGGACCGTGGTGCCTCAGAGCGACGCCACATCCTCGATGAGCAGCACCTGGCCCTGCAGCGACCCCAGGCTTACAGGCTCTCCGCCTGCCAGCGGGTGCGCAGAGAAGGCATACCCTGAGCTAGGGGCTGCCGCCATGAGGGGAGCAGCACACACGATGCGGGAAGCCGAGCAGAGCGACCAGCTCGGGAACCAGAGCGACAGGGAGAGCTGGGAGGCGCCTCTCAACAGACAAATTTCTATCACACACATTACACATCTCACCTTGTGCTTCTAACTCACACAATGACTGAACTCCACTCTCCCCACAGTAGAAAGTCATTCCCCTCCCCCCACAGTAGAAAGTCATTCCCCTCCATGCTCACGTCTAAGCATGAGGTTGCTTAGAAAATTCACGAGACAACTCGGTTTGTGGGGTGCCACCTGCTCCTTTCCACTCTGCTCCCAGTCTCCTTGGGATAGATCAAAATTTCATATGATCATACTTTATTTTCCATAGGTACAGAAATTACAAAAATCTATCACCATCATTATGGGTCTACTCAAAAAATAAAAATAAAGGAATGGAGGGTGGGAGGGAAGAAGGAAGGAAGGGAGTGAGCTAGTAACCTCGGACTACAAAAGGAGGTGATAGTTTTCATGCGAGAAGGGGAAAGGAAGGTAGCTTGATCCCAAAGGAGGACAGGCTTCAAACTAGAAATCTGTGGCTCCCCAGCAGGTAAGGAACTTCAGCCCCTTGGGAGCACTAATTCTTTCAGGCTCATAAACCAAGCCCTGCTGCGATTCTGATTAGCGCCAGCCTGCTGCAGCAGCCAAGTCGAGGCATGAGCTCTATAGGTCTCTATGGAAAGGAGATTTCTGGATTGTTTATCTCTGAGGGCAGAGGGAAAAGGCAGTGGACCACAATTAAAAAGGAGAAAGCTAACTACCGCTATAGTTAACAAATGTAAAGCGGAAATGACACTAGCAATGTCTCTTTTGAACATACCTTCAAACCCACTTCTTTGAACTAAACATCTCAGAGGTCAGGGAAGGAATTTCATTTTTACCTCCAACGATTTCCACTGAAATAGCTCTTTCCTTCCTCAGAATGTAAAGCTCCTCCTTTAATCTTTATCACATCTCTAGGGAGAAGTAGTTAACAATTCTATTTTACAAGCAGAGAGGCAGGATGGCCAAGATTCTTTAATAAACTCTTGCAAAGATAATGCTGGTCCCTTCTAAATGCTGAACATAATTTCTGATGGGACTGAGAATCTGCTATGATTCCAGGATTCTAACTGTGACCGAGTTAAGAGACTTGCAGGCAAGAACACACACCCATAAACCTAAGACCTTGGCTAATCATTCATTCAACAAATAATTTCTTAAAGAATTCCAAGGGTGAATGGTCCTAAAGGAATCAACTAATCAGTAGCCCTAGGCTTTCAGGAGGGTGATGTCTGAATGGGGGACACAGGGATAGACAGGGCCAGTGTGGATTCTTGAAAGAATAGCTTTGCCAACCGTTATAAATAGTCTAAGCACAACATCTCTAAGAGGGCTTTAGAGATCCCTCTAGGTTCACCAGCCGCTTCCCAACCCTCTTCCCTCCCACAGGGTACTCAGCTTTAGTCCCTCAGGTAACAACTCTGTGGCAGGGCACAACAGAATCAATTAGAACACTCTGATATGGCTCTTTTGCCAACATATCAGCTCCCGTGCCCTTCACCAACAGATGAGTAAGCCATTCAAAGGCCCTGAGATATTTTATTTCAGGATTTTTCTCTTCCAAGGTAAAAATCTTAAGAACTTCTGTTCTTCTCTCATCTCCAACTTCAATGATCTCTTTTTCAAACACTAACACTCCAAATAGAAAAGTTTCTACTCATTTCTGCAATGTGACTACCCTGAATAATCAAGGTTAGGATTTATTTCTTCAACAGGTATTTATTAAGTGTCAACTATGTGTAAGACAAGGCACCCTAGTGATGCAGTGGTTAAGCGCTCAGCTGCCAACCGAAAGGCGAGCAGCTCAAACCCACTATCTGCTCTGTGGGAGAAAGATGTGGATGCAGTCTGCTTTCATAAAGATTTTCCTTCCGCCTTGGAAATCCTATGGGGGCAGTTCTACTCTGTCCTATAGGGTCACTACGAGTCGGAATCAACTCAAAGGCAGCGGGTTTGGTTTTCTGATGTATAAAGCACTGTGCCATATACTGGGGATGTAAGTGTGAATAAGACAAATACTGCCTTGCTATCAAAAGGCTTAAGAGTCTAGAACAGAGCTGTCAAACTGCAATGTAATACAAATCAGATGTATTTTAAATTTTATAGTAGCCATATTTTCAAAAGTTAAAAACAGGTGAAATTCATTTTAATAACATATTTTATGTAATCCAATATATTTAGAATATTATCAGTTCATTATGTAATCAATATAAAATTTACTAATATGGTATTTTACATTCTTTTTTTTTTCCATACAAAGTATTTGAATCTTATAAATTTTATATTTACGGTATATCTCAATACAGAGCAGACACATTTCAAATGTCCCAAAGTCACAGTAGCTAAGTGGCTACCATACTGGACAGTACAGGTCAAGGAGATTTCTATCTGAGGGATTCCTGTTCTTTGATAAAGCCAAAATGAAACCGTCTTTCCAGCAACACTGAATGAAATATGGAGCCATACAAAGCTGAAGGCCTGACTGTGAAAGTCCCACGCTAAAAACCATGATGCTAACTCAACAAACTGACCTGGAAATAAACTACATTTTATTTACCAAATATTCACCTGAGAGAGCAATCAGTTACATAAAGTAAAGCAAGACTATGTGAGTGGGGAAGCTGAGCTGTTAAACTGATTTCACTACAAAGGAGCCAAAAGACTCTTGACCCAGAAAGAGATCATAAGACTCACAGCCTGTCAAAGACACCCACTCAGTTCTGAGTGCTCCTTGTGTCTTACACACCCAATCCCAAGAGGCTTAAGCCATTCCTAGCAGTCATCTTTGGAGATTAATTTGTTTTGGTATCTAAAAGGTGTTCGGAATCCCTCAAGATGAAGGAATGATAAAAGTAACTCTTCTTAATAAAGTCATTTCTCTGCTGCTGCTGCCTACAGGACTAGAGAAAAAAAATGATTAACTCTTAACTTCGGATGCACCAGAACATCAGCCTTTAAGGGTTTTTACAACCTTCTCTAGTCCCTGCCTTACTCCAAATAGATGGTGAGTGGTATATATGCTCACTAAGCACTCACCACCATCCAACCACATAGCTGGCAGCCTTTCTAGGATACAAAAAGAATTTCTGCTCACTCAAAGCTGCAGTAGGCTTCAAGATTGTATAGATGATGCCCTTACTTTCCAGGAATCTTGAAGCTTATTGTATTTGCATGTGTGTGTTTGTGTATATACCCATCCATCTCCCAGATATGGAAATCAAGATATCTCCATGGAAGCTTTGAAAGAGTTAAAAAATTAAATAAGCAATCTGCCTAAGACACTCCCTGCGTACCCAGACAATATCTAACCTCAGCTTTGGGTTTCATTTTTCCCTCTTTCCCTCCCTCCCTCCTTCTCTTTCTCCTTTTTTTTTTTTTAATTAAAAAGCAGTGAGAAGCTGTAGCTATAATGAGGGGCTGTGGGAACATGCAGTTATATTGGGCTCAAAGTAATGTACCATAGGAAGAGGCTACATCACCAGAACGAATCCTAAATTAAAACTCCACTATGAAACCGACTCCATTTCCTGTGAGCATGCAATCTATATTATCGCATTTATGGTCTGTCTCAACCTCAATTAGACTTTTGAGGGGGAGTGGGAGGGGACTTCTATAATAAGCAATAATGGTATCATTATAATAAATTATGAAAACACACTGCAATTATTAATGTGAAAAGCACATTTGTACCAGGATATAACAGTGTTAATGTGTGTATGTGTGGGGTGTAACTATAGCTCAACATTCCAAGCTTCCTGGCTAAAAAAGGAGGTAATTCATAAAAGATATGTTAATGGAAGAGAAAATATCCAATTCTATTAGGAAAACGGAAAAAAGGAAATCTTCTACAGCCGTATAAGCCAGGGAATTCTTCACCTAGCACTATGGAGCTCAGATAACTTCTTTCCAAGTAGGGCATGAAGTGCTGTTTCCTAAATATCAAACAATGGAAAAGACTCAAAAATTGAAGCTAGGAGAAAGAAATAATCTAGTTTATTCCTCTTTTTCTAGAAATAGGCAAATCTGAGCCCAGTGGGTTTAAGTTACTTGTCTGTGCTCACACAGTCGGATTGCAGATTCGGCAAGCATACAGCCTCCTAATTTCCAACACAAGGAGCTCTGGTGATGTAGTGGTTAAGGCATTTGGCTGCTAACCAAAAGGCATTTGGCTGCTAACCAAAAGGTCGGAGGTTTGAACCTACTAGCCACTCTGTGGAAGAAAGATAGAGCAAAGATTTAAACCTTCTGGAAACATTTACAGCCTTGGAAACTCAATGAGGGTTGCTATGAGTCAGAATCAACGCAATGGCAGTTGAGTTTTTTGGAATTTCCAACAGTCCTTCTTCTCTGTATTAAGTTAGGACTGGTCGAAAAGAAAAGAGTAGGGTGATACTAAAGAAATGACAAGTAAATGAAAACAGAGAGCTGTGGAGTCAGACTTTCCTAAATTCCAATGCTGGCCTCTCTACCCAAGCTTGTGGATTGACTGGTATAACTGGTATAATCAATCTGAAATGCTTGAATTTTCTCAGTCTATAAACCAGAAACAATAACCACTTTCATACAGACATTTTGTATATATATGCATGTATGCTGTAAAAAATTATGTTACCAAAGGGCCAACCTCAATGTGGCCTATACAAGACAATGTACAGAGCTCCCTACCTCTCTTTGACACATCTGATTCCATAGCAAAGAACCTCAAGGCTGAAAAGGGTCTTGACCATTAACCATTACATTTTAAGACGAGGACCCCTTTTTAATGTTAACATATTTGGTAGGACCCTCCCCTCTCCAGGTGCACTTTTTAGTATCCAATGACTGAAAAAAGATGAAATGACAATAAACAAATAAGTTAATTATGTATTTGGTAATCCTGTTCATTGAATTTGTGTTTTTAATGCCCACATTTACATGAAAGAGATTATTTATTCATTCTACTGAAAATGCTTACATACATCTAGATGCACAACCTCCTGCAATAATTCTGAGGTACAGTCCAATAATTCTGGTCAAAATTCCTGATTAGGAAACCCTGATCC